CCTTCTGAAATCTTAAAAGGATTAGAAAGATGACAGTCTCCATCCATCTTGAAGCAGTGGAGCAGTCAGAATGTTTATAGATAACTTCAGGTTTCGTTGCTGTGGTCTCTCTTAAGTTTCCTTAACTCATTTTCTGTCAAGGTTTTTTGAACATGTTCCCTTGCTTCTTACTCACAGCTAGTTCCTTTCACTGCACTCAATTCTTCCTGGCAAGGGCCAGGTTCAGACCTGTCTTTTCATTTTGTTGCAACAACCATTGGCTTTTGTGAGATGTGGGATCTATGACAAAAGAAACAGTAGCTGAATCCAAACTCAAGGATTTAATGATCCAAAAAGTCTGGAGAAGTACAGGTCCTTGCCTGATATTCATGATTGCAGCTTTTCCTGGGCCTCATCAAAAAACAGGATATAGTTCTGGGATTCAGGCCCAAGTGTATAGCTCAAAACCATTTGTATAATGGTACAAAACATGTTGGTCTTTGGGAAAACTTGGATTAGGATCTGGGTTTCAAATTTCTTCACTTGGGAAAGTTTGGATTTGAGGTTTGTGCTCTACTCATAGAGACATGAAGGTTGGATGCAACCCCATCTCTGTCTCTAAGGTTAGGAACAGATGTTGCATTTATCCCTGAACAAGCTGCGCTTGTTCCAATATTCTGGGGTCCATGTGTACACACATTGCCCTTCTAATGCAGTTTTAATGAGGAGCTGAATGCAGTCTGTTTTTTGCCATTGATTCAATGATGCAACTCCAGGATAACTGGTCAGATGCATTTTGCAATGTCCTGTTAGTACTTTTCATCCTGTGAACTGTTAGTATTCCTTATAAACTGTTAGTACTTCTTACCCTGTGAACTTTTTTAGGATTTATCCGGGGACAACGGACATGAATGCCTGAATGATTGCACTTTGTCCTGGATAAAATGGAATTAATCCATTGCAAATACAAACTAATGCATAACTGCAACCATCAAATCATTAATTCAAGTTTGTAGTCTAGTCTAAGGCTGTCCTACGGTGGTTTGTGGGTTGCATGTGGACCCTAATGGGCTGAACTGCAGCCCCAGGCTCCCAGTCTGTGCTGCTGCCTCCAGGGCTCCTGCCAGTCTTTGGTCTTTCCCTCTCATCTTTGAAACGGGAGCTGCCAGCAAGTGATCTACACTGCTGCAGGGGGGGTATGAGTGCCCCTGGACATGCCCAATGGGACTAAAGGATCTTGTGGTTGGGAGGCTAAGGTCAACCTAGGGTCCTGGCACAGTGCAACTCAGAAACATTGGTGCAGTGCAGTAGGGGTGCCCACTATGCAGGATGGCAAGGAGAGGCCCATGCAATGTGTATGCAGCCTTTTCCACACAGTCCAGGGGGCATGTGGCCTATGTGGCATGTAGTGGGGGGCCTTCAGCCCCCAGCCATTTCAAAGTTAGACAGCCCTGGTCAGTCATTTTTACAGTCTAGCCCTGGGTCATCCTGTCCCCTTAAAGGAGGCTTTAAAGGATGGAGTACAGCAACTACTTCTCACTGTACAGAAGTAACAGTCCCCTAGCTGCAGGACACTGCGCTGGGGGAGAAATATCATTCAATATCTGTAAACACAGACAGAGGCTTTCCATTCCTACCTGAACAGAACTCCTCACACATCCTTAATCAAGCATCTGTCCAAACAAGACTGGCCTCCCAAGATAATCTTGACCATCTCCACTTTGCCCTGATTTGCTGATGCAGGTATTCTGGCACTTCAGTCAAGAGACTCCCGGATTTAAAAAGAAACCTGTTTACAAACACAGTCTTAGACTAGGCTGTGGTTGTGAAGCCTGACCTGCCCTGACCAGGATGGCAAAGAAAGAGAAAGGACGGCTCACTGGTTAGAGCACTGCCCTTAGATTTTGGAGAACCATGTCCAATTCCTTGCTCCGTTAGTGACTTCCCGTGTGACTCTGGACAAGTCACTTA